GAAACTAAGCTAATCTAAGTCTTACTCTGGGACTCAATATACAGGTACTGAGGATAAAGCCGCTTCCTAAGGTTTCTGAATAAAAGAAGGTATAGGCCCAGGAATGCAATCATCATCTTTCCCACTACACAAATTGTAGGACAAGAGCATGAAGCCAAAAATCTAAAGAAAGAGAGCCAAGAAATGCAGACAGAAGCCCTGAAGATGCTGCTTGAGTGTCTGTATCCAATCATGACTTATGCCATTTCACTCTTTGCTTCCTACAGTTATATGAGCCAATAAATTCTTCTTTTGACTATAGGTGAGTCCCAATAATTATGCCCTCTAATTCTAAAAACTAAGTATTATATTCATTTACAGTCCCCCAAATAGGAAAACTGTGACAAAGCAACAAATATGTGAAGATAATACAAGGCAAGATACAGAAACAAAATATTTTTGTTGTAAGAGAATGCCATGGTTTTCATCACCTAAAGGAAAGAGAAACTTTTTTTACTGTATTGCTATTTTTTTATTGAGGTAGTGTTGATTTAGGACATGTATTATGATTCAGAGGCCTAAGTTTACCCCTCTTTAGATGTATGTTATCATATCCATCCACCACCAATCCACCCATAATCCTCCATTCTAGTCCATTGAGCCCTCTCCTCCCAAGGAATGAGGAATCTTTATTTATTTATTTATTTATTCTTAAAGATTTATTTATTTATTTATTTATACAAGCACTAGGTACAGTCAGAAGCATGGAGGGTGAGAGAATTCACCAGAGCCAGAGCGGGGAGCAGAGCAGGCAGACAGACAGAGGACACTGCTGAGGGGAGCAGCAGGCGGCAGGAGAGGTCTGCACGCCATGTGGGACCCTTGCCCGACGGCCGGGGATTGAACCGGCACTGCAGAGGCTGCAGGCAGCTTTGCAACCCAGCGTTCAACCGCTGCGCCACTGGGGAGGCCCGGAATGAGGAATTTTTAAATCACTGAGCATCACACAGGAATTTCTGCACGGTACCAACAGACCTTATGAGTTAAGCCAATTTCCAAGTCAACACTGTTGTGTTAAGTAGGGAAAACAAAATGTGAAAGAGAGAAGACAGAGAAAGCAGCACAAACACTTAAAAAGGAGATTTGAAAATGTAAGGTTAAATGCTAGGCAATAAAAACAAAATCAAACAAAATACAACAGCATACATTTAAAAGTAGATTTACCAAAAAATGTCATTAGGGCACATTTTAATTATACTTTGGAAAGAAAGTGTAATGGCCTTTCTTTCATGTGGCATTCCAAGTAACTAGAGGGGTTCTTAACCTTTAACATATCCACAAATATTGAGACAGATGTCACACTCCCACCATTACAATAGTTGAGGCAATGTTTGGTGGCAACAGGGTTTCAGTTTGAAAACTACTGCCTACCCCACTCTTTTAAGTCAGAGGCATTAAAAAGAATTTAGAGAAATGTAAGTGGAGGAAAAGGAAACTTTATGTTAATGGTTAGGATTTTAGCACAGGTAAAAAGCAAAGGCAGTATTTTACAATCAAGTTACTATAACCTGATTATGTCATTATAATTTGATATATACATCTTTCCCTCTGTGGGAAGAGCATGCATGTGGAAGACAGTGTGAATTTGCCAGTAGGATGGGAATAGTATTTATGGCAATAACTAAATGGAACTTATGTAAGAGAAAAAAAGTCCAGTGAGCTTCATCGTTATTGGAGTTCAAGGCAGTATGGTTCAAGAAGATACTTAACCGAAAAAAGTCTCAAATGATGCTTCCTGCTTGTCCTTGCAGGGGAATGTCATCACCTACACTTTGCGGCTTACACACATTTTATACATACTGTATTTTACTATTTTTATCTTCTAGGGTATGACTTATTTCTAGCAAACTATTTTGGTCTTTTTTTGCACTTGTCCAACAAAGTTGGGAAGGAAAGTGACTTTGTGATTGTGCAATAAAGTGAGTCCAAAATAATAATAAAATTGACCAGGAAGCACATTATTCTCAAAGCATAACATTCATAGGTAGACCTCTAAATTGGAAGTAATTAGTGCTTCCAAAGGGTAAGAACTTAAAGGTCTCCAGTTATGTCAAAGATTGAAAGATATGACTGAAAGTGTCTACCTAGAAATATAATTGTTGACTATGATAAATCTGTTGAAATTACATAACATAGAAACAAAAGTCAGGCAAATGCTTTAAAAAACCTACAGGTCTGTGGGAAACAAAATGTGACATGTCAGTTTCAAAGAACTCTAAGTTACAGAGGAAAAGTAAAGGAGAGAGCTTTACAAAGCATGCAAAATAGCTGCATATGATGGAGGCAGTTATTAACTGCTCTTCTTTTATCCCCTAGGACAGAACTAATTTTAACCTAATCACTTGGGAACATTTTTAAAATATCATTTAGCACTTAAAACATACTCATTTAATGGATTTTTCTTCCCTTTCTAGATGACATTATAAACTGAAAATGCTTACTCAGGGTTATGCATCTGCACAGGTTATTAATGTCATTTAAACTCTTCAGAGTTATACCTGTAATTATTCTAACTTTAAATCTTCATGAAGAGTTTCTGGAATTAGGGGGGAAAAGCGTTACTTGTTATCACATAGCTACTAACCTGGTTTATCTTGTGATTGTATGATTGAAGACACTCCATATCGTTCTTTAGCATAATCCTACAAAAAAAAGGTTTCCCATTATGACTTTTTGTTTAAACACTAACAGCATAATATACAATAAATACAAATTAAAGGATATAAAAATAAATTTGTCTTAATTTTCAGGATATCTTTATTAATTCAAACAATCAGTAGTTTTAAAGTACGGAAATCTGTAATATTTATTTATATATGTACTCTCCTAAAGAAAAAGGATAAGCACCTGGTTTCTAACTTGTTTTGAAGATTACCACTCCCTGTGGATATACCATATATAATAGCACTCTCAGATAAAATTTACACACGTACACCACGTCTTAACTACTTTCTTCAAAAAGGAGATTAAATTACTTCAAAGCAGGGACATAAATTTCCTCTGAGAAGGGATGAAGTACCACAGTTTTATTAATTTCCTATTACAGGAAGAGATGTTCAAAGAGAGCCAACATTTTGGGTAAGCTTTCTGAGCACCAGATGTCCACAGGTTTTAGAAATCAGAGATGTTGGACATGAGCTAACTACAACTTTCCTTTTGTAAAACATCATTGTAAAATCCCTCAGCTTCCTGTTTCTAGAAACCAGGTTCAAGGTGCAAGGATGCACCAACAATGCTATAATATCAAATTTCTTGTTAGAGATTTAAAGCTAAGAACAGGAAACAGGAGAACTAGGGTTCAGACTATTATTAACAAACTGTATGTGTTAAATAAATGGCCTTTTATTTTAATCTCGACTTACCTCTAAACGGTATTTTAAGGTCTTTCCAACTATAAAATGACCTAACTGCCACAACATTAACATATCTAACCTACACTATCTGCAAGGGCACACTGCTATTTTATATAGTTAATCAGAACAAGAATATACTAAAATAATTCCCATAGATTTTCCAAGGTAACTTAAAATGGGTCTAACACATAGTTTTTGTCACTCTATAGTAATCTGCTGGAATTCCCTGCTTTATCCTAAAATAAACCTGACAACATGCTAAAGTGCTTACTGAACAATTTTTTTCAAATATATATAACTTTTTTTGAATGTAAAAATGAAATACAAATTAAAGATAACCCGAGCTCTAGTAGCTACAGCCACACAACGCAGAAGTGCAACATCAAAGAGTTACTGTGCATGTAGGAATATAAAAGCGGTCACTTATTAGTACTGTTCATATTTCAGCACCCCTTATTTCACCCAATATTTTGAGATCACCTATTCCTTATGCAGTTTTATCACAAATCCAGAATTCCTCAACAGAAAAATAAGGTGTGGGGCAGAATTAAGGCTCAATTTCACTACACATAACTTGTTGGATGGTTTCAAACTTTCATTTCTGCAAAGCACTTAAGGGCCATAGGATGTTGTGAATTACCCACATCATTTTGGGACCACCCTGTTACAACTTTATCTCAAAAGTCATTCCCTTGCACACTTCCCTACCTCCTCCCCAGGTCACTTAGAGGGGAAAAAATGTGTTATTTAAAAACTGTCACTTGGAAAAATGATACATCGTTTCACAAAGTATTGTAATTACTTGAAAAACATTAGGAACAAGAAAAAGGGTTCAGCCAAAATTGGCTACCAGGGGACATCCCGCCTTCCCCGAGCAGCGCGGACGTGCATGACGTGCGGGACGTGCCCGACCCGCGGCGGCCTCGGGGTGACCCCGCTGCTCCCACTTCCGGGGCAGCTGGCATTTCACGCCCACCCCCACCCCGGACACGTTTCTTCCAGACCAAGCTTCCCAGGCGCAAGCGGCAAACGCGATCCGGTCTAATCTAGCCAGGCTGCTAGGGCAAGACTCCTGGAGGCCCGGGGCGGGCCCCCGGAGCCCCGACAACACGCTCGCGGCTTCCCAGCAAAGCCCAGACTGGGACCCCAGGGGGAGGACCCGGCTCACCCCACACCCTCCCTCTGCGCGGTCAGGCTCAGAGGGTCCCCCCAGACCCGGGGAAGGAGGAAACCCACTTCCGCCGCGTCCATGATCTCCCGCGGCTTCTCCTGACTCTTGCGGCTGGCGCTGGCGCTGGGCATCTGGACAACTGGACGGGGCAGCGGTCGCCACCCTCCCTCGTAGGCTTCCGTAGAGCAGGCCAAAGGGGCTTCGCCCTCCCACACAATCCCCGCCCTCCCGGCGCTCTAGTGACAGCACACGCGGTTTAAGTCCGCGTGCAGGGTCGTCTCTGGAAAGATCGCGAGAGCTGCGGCCTCGCGAGATTCCAGGCGCGTGACGGCGAGAGGCCGCGCCGCCACCTCCTCCCCGGCCCCGCCCCTACGGGCGCTTGCCGGAGCTGGAGGGAATCCCGGGAATTTGCTGTAGTGTCGCGGCATTGGCGAGGGGCCGGCCCCGGGGACTGTAGTGTTCCGCCTCCATCCCTTTCAGCCGAGTCGCGACTGCGACTTTGGCTGTGGTTACTTCTCAGCACTCACTCTCCCTCCCGGCTTGTTATAACCGCAGACTTTGCATTAAAATGCCCATCCAAGCTCAGGCTTTGGATTTCCTCCTCCGGACTTCACCGCCTTCACCTTCTCCAGTGGCAGTGAAGCTGCCCAGGGTCCTAGGAAATCACCTTGCCAACCGCAACTCTGCCTAATGGGGCACAGGAGTGCTGAGTTATAGGCACTTGCCTCGCTAAGGGAGGACTGAGTACTGCTGCTCAAGTGTAAGTGACGTGCAAACACGATGGCAAAGCCCCCCCCAGCTCCCAAACACACACAATTGCACTGATAATGCCCAGACTTGTTGCTTTGTTAGAGGCAAGCGCGGGGTGTTCATTCTGCGACGGATACGTCCTCCCCATTACCTGTCTTTTTTTCCCCAAGTTCTCTTCAGGAGCATTTTATCACAAGAGAAAACAATATGGGGGCTTGGTTAACTACTGTCTCCCCGGTTAGACTTTTTTTTAAAGTTATTTTTTTACATCATTGTTCATTTTTAAACAATATTTGCTCCCCCGCCCCCCACCCTGGTGTAGTCCCCATAGAATTTCCTTCACCAATGCACCAGTGAATCATCACCTCAGTCCCCTGTGCTCCTCCCTCCCTCCCTCTGATCTCTTTTCCCCCTCCTTCCTGCATACCTTGTTAGACTTCTTTACCCTGAAACACGTTTTAACTCACCAGGGAGATACCCACATGGCGCAGCAGACGACTCCTGATTGGTCCGCTGCTCCCCTCAGCAGTGTATTTCAGTCAGTCTGCCTGTTCTGCTCCCCACTCTGTCTCTGTGAGCCCTCTCACCCTCCACACCGCTGGCCTGTACCCCGGTTCTAAAAAAAAAAAAAAAAAAAGCAAAAATAAGATAGCGTTGAAGCCTTCTACAAAGTGGCACAGTTAGTACTTGTTTAGGACTTAGAGACACCAGTGCAAATGAAAGGATTTGAGGCCACTTCATTAAGGTCCAAGGACAAAATGGTGAAAAGAGTGACTAGTTGCTGCTGTCGAATTGCAAGTGCAGGGTGCTATGAAAGTTTCTGTAAAGGTATTCATTTTGGTTTCCCTGAGGAAGTGAAACAAGCTAAAGTCTAAAGTAGAAATAGGGGTCAGCCTGGTGAAGAGGGGCTGAAAAAATAATCAAGGAGAGAAAAACCGAGGCTTGGTTTTGGATGTAAGTCGTACATATGAGATGTGTTTGAGACATTCAAAAGGAGATGTACCGGTGTAAGCACTGGTCTTGTGGGATCTGGTGAGTAGAAGAGTGGTTTGGGTTGCAGAAATAGTTGGGTAAGACACTGGCAGGTAGGTAGTAATTGAAGCTATGGACTAAGAAAGGGAATGTTCTAAGAAAAGATGTTAACGTTGTCAACGCTGCTTATACTTTAAGGTGATGACTTAAAAATATTTTGGATTTTGCAACATAGTGGTCATTGATGTTCTTAGTAAACACCATTTATATTAATGTGATGGGGTTGGAATGAACTGACAAATGACAATGAAGAAATGAAAGTAAAAGTGATTATAGCAAAACTTAGAGATATTACTGCATGCCAAGCACTGTTGTCAGTACTTTACATACGCTAATAACACAAAATGCATTTCCATAAAAGGGGGAGTAACAATTCCTGAACAGCGAATGGGTGATGTTTCCTCTCCTCTCCACTTACAGCCAGCAACCTGAGAATACAATCCTGAGTTTACCATGGGGGGGGGGGGTGTCCCTGATTGGGGGTGGGGGCACAGCTGGGAAGGAGCAGGGTAGAGAGAAATATGAGAGGTGGAGGGCAGGAAGAGGGAAGACATACAGAGGGCAGAGGGGAGTAACTTGGAGGAGACACATGGAGGAGAGACAAGTGGATAAGAGATTTATGGATGAGAAACTTGGGGAGATGTTCCTGTTACTTGGCGATGATTACTTGGCAGTCGTCTTCTTGATCTCATGGTGAAGTATATAACACATCTTTCCTTCTGTTCCAGCTCTTTGGGACCTGCCTAATCCCTTTCTTGTGGTCCCCCACCAGAACCACAGTGCCTCAGACTTGTGGCAAGCTTTTGTGCTTCAGCTGCCCTGCTTTAAGGTGACCCTATTTGGCTGGGTATTTGCACATGAGAGAAGGGGTAATTTTTGGAGTTTTACTGGGAATTTAAAATCCTTTCTTCTCTCTCTTTCCTTCTATTCCTCAGACTAATTAAAGATCTTTCAAACTGACAATCTGTTCTCTTTGCCTGTGAGCATGTGGATGACAGGAATTTTTGAACATGCACCCTTAACCGTTTGGGGTCCCTGGGTACCCCTCAGTTGTGTGCTTACACTAACTCATTTAATTTGTTCACCAACATTATCAGAGATGATATTATAATCTTTACATATGGGGAAATTGAGGCACACAGAGGTTAAGTAATTTGCCCATGGTTGCAGAGCTACCACATGATATATTTCCGTTAAACTCATGTGATGCCAGAATCCATGTTCTTAGCCACTATAATGCACTGTCTTTAGGGTACAATGAGAAGATTGGATATGAGGGGAAGGAGAATTCAGGGTGTAGCTAATGGTAACAAGTCAAGTGAAAAGAGATAGATACATGCATTTAAAAACTATAGGAAGGATTCTTGAAAAGAAGATGAATACGCAAGACAGAAGGATTGAGAGATGGTAGGAGTTATGTGAATGTATGTGAGTGTGTGTATGAAGTGTATGAATGATAAGATCAAAAGATAGGAGGTGAGATAGGTCCTGGAGGAGAAGAAGCTAGATAGTTGTAGAGGTTGGGTTTTAGCAAAATGAGGGAACTCCCATTTGATGACTTCTGTTTTTTCTAGAAAAAGAGGCTAAATCGTGAATGGTAGGGTTGGGGGCTAAAGGGGAAAGAGAAAAGGGAGACTGGTGATTTATGAAGAATGACAAAGGTTAAAATAGTCCTGAAGGCTATTTGGCATTTTTTTGGGGGGAGTGTAAAGATCCGTTTGGTAAGGGATCAGGAATAGGTGGTGAAAATGAGAGGCCTCCAGAAGCACAAGGCTGGTCTGGTAACAGTTACAAAGAGGCAAATAGTTACTTCAATAGATAGGGGTGTTTGGGTACCAAAGGTACTCAGCTGAAAGGAAACCCAGAAGATATCTGCCCTGAGGATCCATACAAATACAATACACATTATGCACAAATGAGAAGAAAACTTCTATGTAAAATACTTTGAAAGAGCAACACTAAGAAATTAGTTTTTCTTTAAATCAGAATGGAGGAAAGGACAAAGGTGCAAATAGTTGAATCACGAACTTACAGGACTGTAAATTGTCCTGCTATTTGAGGAGTGAAGTTTGAAGAAAAGGAGTGACATTTTATTCCCCATTTAGTTAATCAATGATTACTTATAAATATTTACTTTGTGCATTCTGCCGGGTTCTTACAATAAAAAGTATTCTCAACAATAAACAGTTCAATTAGTGAGAAAATGTGGTTAACAATAAATGTAAAAATTATTCTAATATTGATAAGTACATGCATTTGAAAGAAGAGTACTAAGATTCACTTTGACTGGACCAGCAAAAGATACATGTTCATCACTGATCCAATCACGAAGGAAATATCCTGGAAAGGTGGTTACTACAGGTCCACTACAAGGGCTAAGCAGATTCCTAGGGTTTGGCAGATGACTGCTCAAAAGTCAGAATTGCTTGGCTATGCTTTGGGAACAAACTAAGCCCCAAATCTTAGCAATTAAAAAATAAATATTTCCTATTTATATGCCCATGGCAGGTTAGCAAGGAGACTGAGCTTTATGCAACCACACAAGGACCTAGGCTGATAGATGTCCTGTCTTTTTAAATTTATTTTTATTTTTAAAATTATTTTTATTTTTTAATGAATTATTTTATTTTATATAATTCTTACATCATTTTTGCAAAATGTATGCATTTTCATTTTGGTTATATTCCCCATACAATTCCCACCCTTTTTTTTTTTTTTTTTTTTTTAGAGGCATGTTTTTATTTATTTATTATATTTGCAAGCACTGGGTACAGTCAGTGAGAGAATTCACCAGAGCCAGAGCGGGGAGCAGAGCAGGCAGACGGACTGAAGTACACTGCTGAGGGGAGCAGCGGGTGGCAGGAGAGGTCTGCACACCATGTGGGACCCTCCTCCTGTGGCTGGGGAGCAGCCGGGGATTGCAGAGGCCGCGGGCAGCTTCGCACCCAGCGCTCAACCGCTGCGCCACTGGGGAGGCCCCACCCTTTTTTTCTGACCCTAATCCCTCTTCTCCTCCCACACTGTAGTATGTCTCTGGTCTATAGTTGCTTGTTGATTTTGATTTTCACTTTATTGCAATTAATCTTTTTCCTGGTCCCTTTCTAAATTCTTGCTATGAGTGAGACCATGCGGTATTTTTCTTTTTTTTTGTGGCTTATTTCGCTGAGCATGATCCCTTCCAGCGCCATCCATGTTGCTGCAAATGGCATGAGTTTATCTTTTTTGATTGCTGAGTATATTCCATTGTGTATATGTACATCTTCTTGATCCAGTCATCTATTTTTGGGCATTTGAGTTGTTTCCAAAGCTTAGCTATTGTAAATAGTGCTGCTATAAACATAGGGGTGCAGGTGCCCTTTTGAATTAATGTTTCTGTGTCCTTTGGGTAAATACCTAGGAGTGGAGTTGCTGAATCATATGGAAGCTCTATGTTTAGTAGGTTAAGAAATCTCCACACAGCTTTCCATAGTGGTTGGACCATTTTGCACTCCCACCAGCAGTGCAGGAGAGTTCCTTTTTCTCCACAACCTCGCCAACATTTGTTGTTGCTAGTTTTTTTAATATGTGCCATTCTCACTGGTGTAAGATGGTATCTCACTGTAGTTTTGATTTGATGTCCTGTCTTAACACATGCTTCCATGATCACAGAGAAAATGGAAATACAACCTAGCCTTTAAAGTGGCTGTCTGGTAGTGATATATTTCACATTCTGCTTATATTTCATTGGCCAGCCAAGTCACGTGTACCACTCCTGAGTTTAACAGGGCAGGAGAATTTACTCATTCCTCAGGGAGCAGCATTAAATTTTCGTGATCCGTGAAAGATACTTTCATATTGGTGACAGTCTAACATAGAAGGGTGTTTGTGAAGTTATTCCATCTTGGGATTTCTTTTTTTTTTTTTAAAGATTTATTTATGTATGCATACAAGAACGGGGGTACGGGTCAGAGGAGTGGAGGGTGAGAGGATTCACCAGAGACAGAGTAGGGAGCAGAACAGGCAGACTGACTGAAATACACTGTTGAGGGGAGCAGAGGGTGAGTCAGGAGAGGTCTGCTGCGCCATGTGGGTCTCCTCTCTGGCTGGGGATCGAACTAGTGCTGCAGTGGCTGCTGATAGCTTCATAGGTTGCATCTTAACCCCTTGTGCCACCAGGGAGGCCCCTTGGGTTTTCTTGAAGGCTTTTATTACTTCAGGAATTAGCTACAGTCCTAACATATGAACCAATAGTCAGAAACCTGCATACGAATCCCATGTCTGGTCTTTTCACTAGGGTAGGGATCTTCCCATCCTTGTCCACAAGGCTGTCACATACGCTTTGTCCTTACTTAGATCCTCTTGATAGAGTATCCTTATTTAAGACATAACCCTGGGGTAAGACTGTGAATACATACTCTTGCTCTTGGCTCTCTTTCCTGATAGTGATAAAAAAGAAAAAGCTGCCAGATCAGTGGCCATCTATCATGTGCTTGAGGTCATGTGAATTTGCTCTAGAAAAGACACAACAGCTGCAACTGAGGCTATGACTTGCTTGAATTTGCTATAGTGTACTGTCAATCTTCTGGATCTGTTTTTTGTAGAAGTCAGTCTGGTGAAAATAGGAATATGATGGGAACTATCAATTAGCAGGTCTTTATGGGTTGTTCTAATCTCCGCCGTTCCCCTTTAGGGGCTTGAAAATATGATTTATTTTCCTGCTTGGGGATAGGGAAACAAAATTAGGGAAGCAAATTTAGAGGTTTCTGGTTAGCTTTCTGCAGCCTGATAATCTTACTTCACAGGCCAAATAACTAAAGAAACAATTCCACCTTGTCACTCCATCCACCTTGCAGGTATCCAAATAAGTCACATGAACAAGGATTGGAACTTCTGATAGCCTGAATTTGAAAGAATGCCTTGTGATCTTCCTGGAATACAAGAGGATGAAAGGCCATCTCATATTCACTTCCCAGTCTCCCTTGGGAAACTGCCGTGGGACGATTTCTAGCCACCTCCTAGTTCTGGTGTGGGATGGAACTTCCTGTTGTCTCACATTTCCCCCCCAAGCCTCCCCCTGTCACCATTCACTGGAGCATAGCTGGAGCCCACAAGTGGCTCCTCAGCAGCAGGTGTTTTGGAACTCACATTGCAGTCATCTGGTCCCTTTTGTTTCAGTATCATCCATTTTGGTGTATAGGAAAAGATCCTGAGGAATTGGTACCTTTTGCTTATTCTTCTTTTCACTATATGTTAGTAACAAGCTGTCTAAATCTAAAAATGGCTTCTTACATCTTTATTGATGGAATCAGTCAGGCGGTGACCTTGGCCTTGTTTTTCTTATGTGTTCCTCTCTTGACAAGAACTAATGTGGAGCTTTGTCACGGCCAAATATGTTCATTCCAAAGCATACATTTAGTGGCCAGAAAATTGACTTATGGGACTCATTTTAGATATTGCTGTTAAGTGATTTAACTACCATTGTGATTCCTAATCTTTTGTTGTGATTTCCCCCACCTCCCGCCCCCAAAAAGAAATTTTCGGGATATTTGCTAACTAAGTTACCACTGATCCTTCTCTTAATTCCTGATGCTCTGGAACTTCACAACACATACCATCCTGTGAGGCTAAATTCATCATTGTACTGGATACATTACTTAGTTCTGAGGCATTTTCTCGAAAGATGTCTTTGATGATTCTCTCCCCTTCATTTCTTCTCTGCTCCCTTTCTTGAATTCTTATTATTTAAATATTTTCCTTTCTGAATAAAGGAGGGGAGAAAGACATCTTCTAATTTTCTTATTTCCATTTTCTATCAGCTTGCCTTTTTGATCTGCTTTTATGAGATGCTTTCAACTTTCTCTTCTAATCTTTCCATTTAGATTTTCTCAATTCTGCTATCATGTTTATAATTCCCCCAAGTCCATTTTTATTCTCTAACTGGTCCTTTAAAAGAATAGCATCCTGATCTTTTTTACACAAATGTAGTATCTTTCTGAACATATTAACAGAGTGATTTGGTGGTGGTGGTGGTGGGTGATTGCTAACGTAATCGGTCTCACTAGCACGTTTCTTCCAAGTTGCTTTTTGTTTCTTTGTTCTCTATCTTCCATTTTAGAAATCTGCATTACCCATTTGGTGAATTCTTCTTATTTATTTGTTTTTGTATTTGTATATAACCTCTTTTTGGGGTGAATTCTTGATTACTGCTTATATTAAAAGTGGGGAACAAGGGCCTCCCCGGTGGCGCAGTGGTTGAGCGCTGGGTTGCGAAGATGCCCACAGCCTCTGCAGCCCCGGTTCTATCCCCAGCTGCTCCCCGGCCACCGGAGGAGGGTCCCACATGGCGCGCAGACCTCTCCTGCTGCCCGCTGCTCCCCTCAGCAGTGTACTTTGGTCCTTCTGCCTGCTCTGCTCCCAGCTCTGGTGAATTCTCTCACCCTCCCATGCTTCTGACTGTACCCAGTGCTTGTATAAATAAATAAAAATAAATCTTTTTTTTAAAAAAAAAAAAGTGGGGAACAAAGTGAAAATTAGAAGCTGTGAGCTCCGGAGGGTTTTGTCGTTTGAGTTTTGCTATGTGATGATCAGACTGGACAACCCCAGGGGTCACTATCTTTAGATCTCTCTCCTCGGCTGGTCAAATTATTAGTGTAAAAACTCTTCTAATCTCATGCCTGAAGAGTTAAGGACAGTCTTCTGGAATATTTAGCATACAACATCTATTTGGTTACTGAATCCCTCCAGTTTGGAGATAGCACCCACATCCTAAAGTCCAAGCTGCATCCTTTCCCCTTTTCCCAAGAGTGGAATAAGGAGAAATGTAGAAATTAGCCTTCTCATGTGATTTCCTGCAAACATTCCTTATTATAACTCCTACCCCCCACCTCCATTTCCAAAGGTATTTTGTGCTGTTTATCCCGAGTCGTTTGAGATTTGTATGGTATAAATTAGGTTGATTGTTAGTTTTTATCACAACTAGCTTAGATCCAGCTTTTGGTATCTGCAAAATGAGTTACCATTGGTCTGAATCTGCTTTGTAACTTCCACATTTTGCTGTCTCTTCTTCAGTTCCCTCATCCTCTTGATTGTATTTTTTGTAGGATTATGGACAGGTAACCCTAGCAAACTAATGTATCAATACCTGGAAACTTGTTAGAAATAGGTCTCTGATCCCACCAGAGACCTAGTGAGTCAGAACCTTTGAGGGTGGAGTTCAGCATTCTGTGGTCTAAAGCCCTTGAGGCACACTCAAGTTTGAGAAGGGTTGACCTAGTTTTTGAAGATACAGGAACCTGGTTCATATCCCAACTCTTCCACTTATAAGCTGTGTGATTTTGGGTAAAATTCAGAATAGTTCTTGCTATGTGACTAATGTGCAACAAATGTAAACTATTATTACAACAGATAATATGTAAATATTGAATTTGAATCTCATTTAATGGATTTGGAAAAAGAGTAGCCCCACATATAGGGGTTATTTGAGTAATAATAATCCCTTGAGTAAAGGTGACTACTCCAACTCCTATTTGGCTGCTGGAAAGCTTTTTTTTTTTTCTTATTTCCTGGTATATGATTGTGATGTGAAAATGTAGATGGTGCCAAGTTCTTTGGAGTTTATGCAAATAATACATAGCACACATTGTTATGTTGCTCTTCATCCTCTACAAAGGCCTATTGTCATCAATTTTATATCCTGTTCCCATGAGAACTTTACCTTTTTCTCCTCTTCGCATTCTATTCTTGATGGATTACCTAGTTTCTCACTTGGACAACTTATCCTCCTTTTCTGATGGCCCAGTTGAAACCACCTTCTATTAAAAAAAAGTTTTCCATGGAGGCATCTAGACACTCATTTCCCTTGTTTTTCATTTGCCTTCTATCTGAGGCGATTCCAGTTGTTTTACTGTGTGTCGCTGCCACTAGATACTAATGATATTTTCACTGGGTAAGTTGCAATTCCCAACCTTGTTTCTGTATTTTTGATTGTCTTCAGTATTTTATGTGAGTTGTAAACACACTGGGTAGAAACAACTCAATAAGTGACAAACAGTAAAATGAATAATAAAAAGTTATAGTCTCATAAAAGAAGAATGAGAGGGGTCCCTCTTTCAAATAGAAGTAAGCCAGGGATATCAGCATGTTGTGAAAATGCTGGCTAGCTGCTACTTTGATTTAAAATATTCTTTCAGACACAAACTTGTTTTTGTAACCCTTCTCTGCAATACACAATTCAGTTACCCTTGCACATTCACCTTCCTAATCACTTTCAGAAACATGACCACTCATGTATCACTTTGGCCCCAAATCTTGGTGTCATTTCTTACTGCTTTTTCTTCTTTCAAATATTGAAAAATCTGCCATAATCTTTCTGCTCTTTCCTTTTTACTATTATCCATCTCTAACTTATCACAAAGATTAGATTTTTCACAATTGTGGGGAATTGGAGTGTTCAGGGTAAATAATAATTCATTTGGCCAGATTATCCTCCATCTTATTTTGTAATTTTTTTAAAAGATTTATTTACTTATTAAAGAACTGGGGTACAGGCCAGATGTGCAGGAGGGTGAGAGAATTCACCAGAGACAGAGTGGGGAACAGGCAGACTGATGAAATACACTGCTGAGGGGAGCAGCAGGTGAGACAGGAGAGATCTGCCGTGCCATGGTGGGACTCTCACCGGCCGGCCCGGATCGAACCGGCGCTGCAGAGGCTGCAGACAGTTTCACAGCATGGCACTCAACCACCTGCGCCACCGGGGGAGGCCCTTATTTTGTAATTTCATATGACTGTAGCCATATTCAGAAATTCTGTGAAGGTTCTTTAACCCCTCCCCCAATACATTAAAATTTGAAATACCAAGCAAACGTGAAGTATATTGCACTTATAAAAGAATTGTGCAGGAGCCAGGAAGTGCAGGAAAAAAAGCAAATTCAGTGACAGCAATTGTCGGACTCTCCTAGACCACTTATTGTCTGCCTTTCCCTGTTCATGACTTGTTTTCTGCTTTGCTCACTTTAACATAATACCCCATAGTTTTTCACTATAAGTTCACCATTGTTACCGTTCAATATATATGTGATTTTATCATCTACTTTTCTTTTAGGGAAGATTTTTACCATTAGAAATGTACCTCATAATAATTTTCTTTAAATTGATGCTTACCTATGCTCATGAATGTTTCTGTGTATAGCTTTAGACCTGAAACGACTATTTTTCAATATTCTGAAGACTAACCCTACTTAAGTTACATATTAAAAATTATGCTAAGTTAAAATTATTCCATTTATTTCATTTAGTAGATAATTCTGATCCAAACTGAGATTTGCCCTCCTCGTTGCAACATTAAGAAAATTAGTTCCTCACTGTTCCCTCAACAGTGGCAAATCATATTCCTAAAGATGGCTGCAACAATGTCTTCCATTCCAAAGGGACAGATTGGGCCACCCCTTCATCGAGAAGTAGAGTTTATTTTTAATCCCTTAGAATCTAGGACTAAAGACCTATTTTGACTAATAGGATGCAGCAAAAGTGATGATCTCAATCTCAGGGCTCGGCCTCAAAAAATCTACAGCTACTTCATGTCTTGGCGTATTCTTTCTTGGAATTAGTCTCCATGCTCTGAGGAAGCCCAAGAAGTCATATGAAGAAGTCCCATGGAGGATAACCAAAGACCTTGGCCAGTTCCATAGAAACATGAGAAATAATAAATTGCTGCTGTTTTAAACCACTACATTTTAAGATGATTTATAAGGCAGCAATACCTATTTGGACCACTGGAGCTATACTCCTCTTAGTTTTGAGTGTCTTGCACCAAGTTCTTTACTTAACTCACCACCCTCAGTCCCCTGCAAAGTAACTTTCTTCTGGGTCTTCGCAATCTTCTTTTGGTTCTGTGGACAAAATGATTCACCCTTCAGTCATTATGTCAAGTGATAATCACAAATCTAATGTACACTCTTTGGAATCCTTGTGATATGTCAGGCACTGTTTTAAGTACAATATATTTATTAATTTTTATAATCTATAGAACAACTTTTTGAGTTAAGTATTGTTACATCTGTTTTACAGGTGGAAGACAGATATGTCCAAAGCCCCTCAGTAAGTGATGGAACCAACCATCAGAACCAAAGCATCCAGTTCCACAGACACATGCTTAGCCACTGTGATGTCCTGTTTCCATTAAGTATGCCTCGAGTTCAAGTGGTTAATCCTAAGTTGACTTAGGTGAGTGAAGTTTTTTTTTTTTTAATTGATGTTACTTGATCCTTTTACTTTAGTTAAGAACGTCCTTTAAGACTTTGGTTTCCTTATTCATTTATACTAGATTCTGGGCTGTGTACCATTCTACTTACATTTGGAAAAGCTAAATGTTAGAAAAGTCTAAATGCTTGACTGTTCCTACATTCATAGTTCAGGGGAGGATGGAGCATTTACCATTTTCTTGTTTCTTTTCCCTGTGCAGCCACCGCAGAGGGCAGCAGAGCGACAGGCAGGCAGCCATGGGGAGGAAGGTGCAGAGAAGCAGAGCTAGGGGTATGAACCAGTGTGGTGCCAGTGTTGGGTGGAGCTCTTTACCTGTCCTTTGGGCTTTGAGAGCTGGGTAGGAGCACAGTACAAATCTCCTCTGCTCCCATCAGCCGCCGCCTTCTAATAACAGGGACCAGGGGCAGTCAAAGCTGTGTCAGATAGACTTAAAGCAGAGGGATGTCTCTGCTTTTATGCAATTGTAGTGGTAGGACCAACTCCAGTGCTGCTTTCTAACAGCACCAGGCACCAATGCTGTCAGGTCCTCCTAGGCAGCCATTGGAGAGATGTCCCTGCAAGGGTTAAGTAGTCTTAAAATTCTTCTGCTTCCTATCTGCTTGAAAACTAATTCAAGAACTTGGAGGGAAATGAAAAAGCTAATTGTAAAATTCAATAGGTTTGCATTCTCTTGCTGTATTCAGAGCAGCCATGGGGTGAGATTCCCATCTCTGCTGCTTAATTGCTGTGTGATGTGAAAAAAGTTACTTTCTTCTCTGTACCTCAATGTCCTTAGCTACAGAATAGGTTCATGATATTTACCTTGCATGGTTGTCATGAGGAAGAATTAAACCCTGTAGGCAAAGCTCTTTGCCTCAAATACCCAACCAGTGTAGCTACTCTTTACATACAAAGTATAAGGTGGAAACCTCTAAAAACTTGACACTGCTACTTAGGCTTAGAGTGTAAACAGCATAGGGTGGAACTGGTATTTCATGCTTTACTATACAATGTTTGCTCAGGAAAAAGACAACTCCCAAAACATATTTCAGAAGTGTATGATCTTTTATATTCTTTCCTTTTAACTTTTATCCCCTAAACACTTTGGAGATATAGAGTATGAAACTGACTTCTACAAATTTAAGGAGTATCTAAGTCTCAATGGAATACTCTCAATCTAAGATATTCTGGTTTTCAGGAGTCCATGACCCTCTCCTAATGGTATGCAATATTTTGTGTGACTTCTTATATGTGCATTTTGCGGGGGGAAATGATTTGTAATTGTCAGCAGGGGTCTATGCTTGAGCAAAAGACTGACAAACTAATATAGAAATAGGCTTTTAAACCTTCTGAAAGTAACTTGGAAGACTTCCTTAACTGAAAACAAAGCAGGCACAGCTTTGGAAAGCACTAGAAATGGATCCCATCTTCTAATCAAGGCCTTGTCTCTTTTCCCCAGTGTGTCCCTAACAGAGTGGGAGACTCACTCTTCTGGCTGGCACAGGTGATTCTGTAAAGACAGGACCATGCAGATGAAGAGGTGTTACCTTCTCTAATTACAGCTAACAAAGACCAAAGTCTAACCTCAGCTGCACCTTTTGTCTCTGGGAAGTCACTTATGAAGCAGGCTTAATCAGGATTTACTACCTGAAACATAATTCTCAGGATGACGACTATCTAAATTATGTCCCCAGACACATACCTGAGGCAAAGCCCTAAGGGCGCATGGCCATAAGGGGGGAGAGGGGCATGTGGTATTTTTCATTCAGTGGGGATTAATAAATGAGGATGATATCACTCAGAATCATGGAAGGGGCAGGTGTCCAAGAGGCCCTTTTGGCTTCTGCTATGGGGCTTGACAGCCTGTGCACTGGGCTTCGTAATTTATGCCTCCGGCACAGAATCTACACAAAGCAGTAACGGCCACATCAGCATTTTGGGATTTTAAGCTAGCATCTCTTATCCACAGACGCTCTCCTCCAAATTGTAAGCATGATTCAGCTAATTAATTCCACTTTAATTTTAAAGATTATTGTTAGTGTGTAAAGGGAATGAAAATACAGTTGTGGGGGAGGGGATTTCAAATGCTTTTAGAGTTCACTGGATGATGAGTAATTTTGTAATTGTTGTTTTTACATTTCTAATTAATGGGTAATTCATGAATTATAGCATACACAATATAAGACCCGTGGACTATATTAGGGAAACAGCTTTGATCTGTGTAAATAAATTGAGATAAAACGTGGGTGCACCTGTTCCTAGCCAGTCTCAGGAATATATGAAACTCTGGCACAGGATGAACGTCTGTTGGTGTCAGTGTGACAAAAACAAAACAAAGCTGGCAGTGGGGTCAGGAAGTCTTTAGTGGGCGGAGAGCCTCTGTCTGCAGCCAGAGCCCAGCCCGGCTGTGTGTTCTGATGCCCATCAACCAGGAAAGGGAGTCTAAGGTTTCCAAATGATTTTCCCTCTTCACAAAACAGTTGTAAAAAAAAAAATACTAATCCTTCCTGAATGTTCATAGCTTTTCTTCCTTTAGGAAGTTTTAGGTCAATGGGAAACAAAGCCTTATTCAAAGGATTAAAGCCATAGTCATTCTATTGTTTATGGCTTCAGTATGTGACTTTCCTTCCACTGACAAAATTTTCAATTCACAAATCATTTAAAAAACAGGAAATTTTTGGGAAACACGTGCTATTGATAACAAACAAGGCATCTACCATGTTATATAGACGTTTATGCAAAGAGGCATCCGATTTTTATTTAAGATTTTTTTTTTGGACTGTGCTGCACGTCTGGATGCATTCTAGGAAGATTATTCCTGTGTACATAAAGCTACACAGTTCCACCCCTGCTTCCAGCGGGGAGGAGTGAGAAGGAGGTGAAGCAGATTCAGGTGTATTTTCAAGGCTGCTTTCTTGCCACTACTGTTGCAGCAACAGGCCTCTGCAATACCCTCTTCTCCTGGCTGTCCTTAGTCCCAACTCCAGCCATGTCCCCTGCCCTCACCTGGTGAATGGAAGGAGAAGTCCCTCCAGCATTAATTAGCAGGGATAAAGAGAATATGCTAGAGAGGCAGTGCCAGGCAGCCCTGAGCTCTGACTGTGGGCGGTAGCTAATGGGAGTCATAGAAAATTAAAGAGACTGTAGAAACGTCACTCCTTTTGCAAACAGCGGCAAAGTAGGATTAGTAGGGATCAAGGATGAAGCAGCAGCACTAAACTGTAAGGAGACAAACTGTCTTTAGAAATTCTAGTCACTTCTAAATAAACTACCAGGAGAATGATAATTTTACTTAGATTCCTTACTTTGGTTACCATCCTTTAATCTGAATGCTAAGAAGAATACTGTAGATTCTCCCAAAAGTAATATTTAGTATCTGAAATTCGCCAATATCATTTTTTCCCTTGGTCCCCATCTTTCCCTATACCATTTAACTTTTATTCACACTTAGAGAAGCACTACTATTTCTTCATCGAAGGATGACAGACCTACCTACTTCTTAACACTTTCTTCTGTGTCCTTGCTGTTCAAAGTTGGATATTGATCCCAGCAACAGCAGCAGCAGCAGCAACAGCAGCCAGTGTGTTAGAAAATGCAGATTCTCAGGCCCTACCTTATGACTTCTAAATCAAAATCTACATTTAATAATATCCTCAGTGATATGCTTGCACGTTAACATTTGGGAAGGGCTAGTCTAAACCATACAGTAGATCTTACTAATAATCTGCTAAGGCCTACAGGCTCCTATATTCTTTTACCTCACCCATTTATCTGGTCTTATCCCTTATCACTCTGCCCCTCATTCATCTTACTGTTCCCTCTCTCTGGAGTGTCTTGCCCTATCACAGTAGGACTAACTTCTTTATTTCACTGCAGTGGAAGCTTAAATGTTATTTCCATGGAGCAGGCCTCCCTAACTCCTCCACATGAAGAACTGCATCCTGGACCTCCCCGGTGGCGCAGCAGTTGAGCGCTGGGTTGTGAAGCCTCTGCGGCCTCTGCGGCGCCGGTTCGATCCCCGGCTGCTCCCCAGCCACCGCAGGAGGGTCCCACATGACGCGCAGACCTCTCCTGCCGCCCGCTGCTCCCCTCAGCAGTGTACTTCGGTCCTTCTGCCTGCTCTGCTCCCCGCTCTGGCTCTGGTGAATTCTCTCACCCTCCCGCGCTTCTGACTGTACCCAGTGCATGTATAAACAAATAAATAAATAAATAAAATTCATGCCTCTTTGAAAAAAAAAAAAAAAAAAAAAAGAACTGCATCCTATCCAGATATTCTCTATTTCATTATCCTGTTTTATATTTTTATGGTATTTATTGTTATCTGGAATCATTTTATAAATTCATTTTTGGGTCTGTTTTGTTAAGTCTTGTATTTTTAGTGCCCAAAACAAAGCCTGGCACATCAAAGGTGGTCAGTTAATATTTATTGTATGAATGAATAAAGTTTTGAGGATCATCACTGTGAAAATTTAGGCCCAGAAAAGTTTAATATCAGAAACCCTCAGAACAAACTTAACAGCTTTCTGTTAATTGACCCAAGATCATGCTATTATTTCCCAGATCAATGGTCCTCAAAACCTGGTCTCTAGACTAGCGGCATTAGCACCCTCAGGGAACTTGATAGAAAGTCAAATTCTCTGGCACTCCCCAGATGTACTGAATCAGAAACTCTGGCCCGCGTGTGTGCATGCACACACGCGCGCGCACGCACGCACGCACAGAAATTCACACACACAGAGGAGTATTATTCCACCATGAGAAAGAAATCTTGCCATTTGTGACAACGTGGATAGAACCAGAGGGCATTATGCTAGGTTGAATAAATTAGAGAAAGAAAAATACTGTATGATTTCACTTATATGTGAAATCTAAACGTGCTGACCTAAGGGCTAGGGGTAGGGAGAATAAGAGACATTTGACCTGTTTCTGTCACTCTAGCAGCCATGCTTGCTTTCCTTCGCTTGTATCTTCTAATTAAGAAG